AGTCATTTACTTTGAGCTTTGGAACAATCTTTGGGTACGTGAATTACTGATCTTAGAACCTCGACAGTGACAGGAACCAAGAAAATGTGCTCACAGAGGGCTTCATTAAACTGCTGTGGGGCTGGAAGGAACCTATGTATGACGTGGCCCATGTGTGACACTCACGGGAAGCAGCTGCTGCAGGGTGATGCTGATGTGCCCCTGTGCCCTGAGCCAGCTGCACCCGGGGTGGCAAGAGACAGACCAGGCCCATGGGGTCCCATGTGGAAACTTTTTGATATCTAAATTACTCGGGTGACCGTACAAGTGCTTATCAGATGAACAGGTGTAAACACATACACACACGTGCGTGTAGGCACACACATACACGCTCACATAAAATGGTGAGATCCAATGTAAAACCTTCACAAAACGAGCCAAGATGACGCAGGTGTGCAGGCCGACAGCTAGTACCCACGTTGTCCTACTCCAAGCTAGTATGCACCTGAAGTCCTGAGCTCATTTTTCTGTGCTGTCTTACGGCAGGGGTATTTGAGAACACAGGAAGGTGCCCAGAGAAGAGCAAAGAGCAAATAGTCCAGAAAATATGTCACATAAAGAGCGGCTGGGGAGACACAGTGGTGGAAATCCTGAGGACCAGACCTTAACAAATCCTCATTCGACCCCTCACTGCCTGTGAGACATTCACCTGGCTGAGCCTCAATTCAAGGAACATAATAAAAATACTATCCCACACACTTGAGTTAAAAACTAAAAGATTTAACTCATGTAAACAAATTGCTCAAAAACTGTGTGAGTGTAGCGGAGGGTGTTTAAGGACATTAGAGCATGGGAAGCGGAGGGGGACCCTTGAAAGACGACTTAGGAGCTGTCACGTGGAAAGGGGTTCAGTTCACGCTGTGTATCTATAAGAAACAAAAGTGGAAAGCATCCACATCATGCAAGGGGACAATTTCAACTCACAGGAAGGAGAATGTGAGTGCTGGACAAAACGCTGTGGGCAGATTCTCTTATCTTACCCCACCCTCAAATTTACTACAGACTGGTCAACCCTTCCATCCTTCTCTTCTGAATTATCTTTAACAAACACCTAAATCTATAGTTCAATAGAAGTAAAACGTCCAAAGCCAGGCCTGCCGCCAGCCCATTCACTCAGAGACTCACAGATGTCCCAAGAGGCTTCGTGCAGGGCAGCAGCCCCAGGTTAGATATGCAGCTTCACACACAGTCACCCAAATGTGACAGCATTTGAAGTTAAAAAAATGATGGGAAGCAATGTTGGTAAATACACAAAACTGAACAATACAGCCTAAAACTAGAGAAAGGTGAACTGACTTCTGGAGGAGGCGTGTAGCGGGAGGAGGCACCTGCAGCCAGGGCAGCCCAGCAGTGCTCACTGGAACACACCCCAGGGCGGCAGGAAACACCTGCCTCAGAAAGCCTGCAAATCACAGACTGAAGGGAAGGCAGCAATAACAACAAATAGTTTGTGATAATTCAATTGGTATAAAACATACATATAATCATTGTAAACTAATAAATTCATTTCAACTTGGTGAATTTTAAAATTAAGGCAGCACCAAGAAAGTATAATAGACAAGATTATTTCCAATACTTATTATGTTATAGAATAAATCACCATTTTCAAGTCGAATTTCCATTAAACAAAAGAACTTAGCAGGAGCCATTATCACACTAGGCTAATTAGAAGGCCTGGTGCTCCAGGGTAATCCAGAATCAGTTATGGAATCTTGGGATTCTGCATACATTTTTTTGAAACTCATGAAGTACACATACATTATTAGGAGTAGGAATAATCAATTGTAAGGGAATAATATTCTCACATTGCAAAAGCATTCTTCCATTGTGGCAAATTAGCAAATGCTTGGAGTCTACACTGTGCGAAGCACTGAATCTTACCTATTATTTTGCTTTTTAAGACCTAAAAGAGTTGGTTCCTACACAATATTCAGTTTTCAAAGGTACCTAATGATGGTGCTACTTTTCATCTTGCCAGAGCTCATCAGTGCCTGGAGACATGTTGTGTTTTATATTCCAAAATGCATGGAGTGTGGCAAGAGCTGAGAGACCTCCCAGCTCTCAGACTCAGAGACCTCAAGCCCTGGGTTTGGCCAGTTAAGACTGAGTGTCCTTTGGGGGTAATTTAGCCTGTCTTGTCGGCAAATTGTAACAATACTAGCTCTGCCTGCTTCCCAGGCTGCTGCTCAGATGAAACACAATACCACACAACTATACTCAGAGAAGTGAGGTAGCACCCATCCACCATCCATGCAAAAAGTTTTAAAGATCTGTGGTTATAGTTTCATAGTCTACCGGAAATGATCAAGAAAGACAGGTGCCCTCATCATAGTTAGCACTGAGAGGGATCTCGAGACTCTTCTATTTGAGATTGTTAAACCCAATCAAATGAAAGATAGAGTCTAAATTATTAAGAAAAGTATTAGACAAATCATTTGACAGTAATGGTTTTCTTAACAGTGTAAATGTTGTAGAAAAGAACCTTCCAGCAGGTGGCAGTGTGTCCATTTCTGGAGTGGGGAGAAGGCCGGGCGCTGAACACACCTGCTTCTCTGCACACACCATCAGCGTGTCTGCCTTTTCCCATATTCACACACAAATAAAATACCTTCTCTAAATAAAAAATTCAAAACTTGAGGAAAATTCTACATTTTCTATTCTTATTTGAGTTTTAAAAGCAAGGAAAAACATTGAAAAATATTAAACAAAGATTTTTTTTTAATTTTTCTCATGTCATCAGATTGTAACTTCATAAAAGAGGCATTAAAAAAATCCCCATGACCTGAATGTTCTTAGCATTCAATAAACAATATATAGAAACAACTGAAAGTATTTCATATTGAATTAACAATTTAAATCTGTCAAGATAGACTAAAATAATATTTGTTGAGAAAGTATAATTTTCAATGAAAAAAAGCAAATTTTTAAAGTAAAAGCAAATTCAACAACAGAGAAAAAGAATAATTAATATTATATAGAGAACTTTCCAGCTTCCGGAAATTGCTTTAAACATTTCACTTACATTAATTCAAGCAACAACTTTGGATATGTTATTTTCTCCACTTTATATCTAAGGAAATTGAGGCCTGTAGAAGTTAAGTGACTTGCTCAGGGCCACACAGGTAGAGCATGGACCCAGGGCGGAAAACCCAGGCGATGTGGCTGCAGAGTGGGCAGTGTTGGCCATGCTGCTGCCATCGCACAGACCGCACTGGCACAGCGCTGACTCCACGCATGGAATTTTGTTTTAGAATAATAAATAACCATTCACTGCTATTGAAAAATACGGTGTGGAAACATATTGAGAAAGAGAACTTAAAATTTTCACTTCCTTTTGATGATCTTTCTTCCTGTAAGTTTTAAGAAAATGACTTGGATTCTGAATTTAATATAAGAATTTCTAACAGATTAATATAAGGGTATTCTGTAAAACATTTAGGAAAAAGTAAAGAGAAGATAGAGCAGCTCTGTGGAAAAGCTGGATCAGAAAGGAGCAGATAGGGAAAGAAAGTCACCAGTGTTTG